GTTAGCTAACTACATGAAAAACCTGGGCCTGGGATTGGAGTTTAGTTGGTAGGATCTACTTAGCATGAACAAAACCCTAGGTTTGATAGCCAGAATTCCGTAAACCAGGCATGGTGGCTCAGTCCTGTAAGCCCAGCACTCTGGAGGTAAGTTGGATCAAAAGTTTAAGGTCATTCTCAATAGTTCAAGGCCAGTCTGTGATACATGAGATCACAAAACAAACACCTTCTCACTGCAGTGTGTGAAGGAACTGGTCCCACAGAACCACACAGGATCTACATGACTCAGAGCACCAGCAGGATATCTGAGAGGAAATTCAGTGAGGATCCAGTATTAATGGTATACCTCAAGCCAGAGGCCTCAAACCTGACCAACAACACATTTCACAATGAACATTTACAAGTAAAGCTGTTTGGACCAAAGGGTATACTGTACGATAGATACACAGCAGCTCCTAATGTCACCAAGATGAATGAAGGGGTGATAGAGAGGTAGGAAAGATGGAGGGTTAAAGTGTGCTTGTTTTAATATTTTTATTTCAGTCTTTTTTATCTTATTTTTATTATTTCTTTTTTAGTTTTCCTTGGAAAATACACTACAAGGGTGAAGGGCATATACAGAGGGACTGGAATATGAGTAGGACTGGAGCATGTGATATTGAAATTCCCAAAGAATCAAACACGGGCAAGTAAACCAACGGCTCTGTTCAGTCAACAAACATTTACCAAGGGTGTGTACACCTAAAGTAAATGAGGAAGGCAGCTGAAGAAAGGGGGCTCTGGGCAGAGGGCCTTACCTACAGCACAACTGCAATGGGGGGGGATCCTGTGGGCAGAACAAATGAAACTTTAAGAATGGGGTTCTGCAGAGGGAGACTTGAACCTGGAATAGAAATGGAATGAGGTGCTCCCTCATTAGTAGTAGTGAGCCCCTACTACCAACCAGTGAGAACGGTTTTAAGGTGGAGGAAAAAACAGACCAGAGCACCCAGATTTCCAATGGTGCATGTCTGTCTTTATTCGTTGTTTGCTTTTGTTTTGGGGAATGCAACCCAGGGTCTGGAGTTGCCAGCACACTCTACCACTGAGCCTCCTCCCCTGCCCTGTCCCCTGCTCCAGCCACCTTCCAGTCTCATAGGAAGCAGAATTACAAGGATGGCATTGACCGCTTGTTCACTGAATCCACAGAAGCTGCTTAAAGAGAATTCACCAGGCATGTGCCAGAGATGGATCAGATAAACCCTGGAGACCCCTTGCAGCAATCTGTAAGCCTTAACACAGAGTTCTTACAGAAAGAATTATTGACATTTCAGTTTAGAACTTGGCAAAAAGAAAATCCTCAGCATTTCTGCTATTGAACATGAAAGCGATTGCTCTAGGTCACATTCTCAAAAACCTTAATGGCTCCATGTTACAGGAAAATACCGGGAAGCTGTACAGGTGCTATGATGAGCTGGTTCTTTGCTCCATCAGGCTTTTCCACTCATCCCTCCCCAGATGTGATTTACGAGTAGTGTTTGCCCTCTCATCCTTGATGACAATGCTGCTGCTCACACGCCTTTCCAACTTCCTTTGTTCACCCTCAAACCTTACTTTTCAGGAGTAAATCGGTGTCACAGATCTTTGTAAGCAATTTATCAGAAATCCTAAGAGCCTTAAAACCCTGGACTGAGGATGTAGCTCTCTGTGAAAGAACACTTGCCCAACAGTGTGAGGCCCTGGCCATGATTCCTCCTCCTTGCAAACAAAACAACCCACCGGTACGCCTAGCTTTGATTCCTTCTGGGATCTCATCAGAGAAAGCTATCTGAAAGGTACACAAAACATAATTCTGAAGTATTCCTCCCTGGGAACCCTACTCTCAGAGGTTTTTGTCACTTTCCTTCAATAAATATAAGTTCAATATGCTAAAAACAAAACAAATAAAAGTCTTCTGGGTCATTATTTTTACCTTTATCCTAAACAATCTTAAGAATACATAGAAGTAGGCTACCATATTGAACCCCCATATTCAATAATTCATGGACACATTTGCTTCAATTAACTTCAAAAACATTATGAAAAATCTCTAGTTGGGCTGGGGTGTAGCTCAGAAGTAAAGCATGCTGAAGCCACAAAATAATAACTATCACTGCTTATATGCTTAAAATCAAATCCTAGCTATTACTTTATTTTTTACCCATGCATAGCTCCGTGTATGTCTTTGAAAAGCCTGGGCATGTTTTTTTGTTTTTTTTGTGTTTTGTTTTTTGTTTTTTTTTGAGACAGGGTTTCTCTGTATTGCTTTGGAGCCTGGCCTGGAACTTGTTCTATAGACCAGGCTGACCTCAAACTCACAGAGATTCGCCTGCCTCTTGAGTGCTGGCATTAAAGGCCCGTGCCATCACCGCCCGGCCCCCTGGGCAGGTTTTTTCCATACTTTATTTTTTGTTTTTTTAGACAGGCTCTCTCTACATAGCCCTGGCTGTACTGGAACTCACTATGTAGACCAGGCTGGCCTCTAACTCAGAGAGAGCCATCTGCCTCCTGAGTGCTGGAATTAAAGATGAGCACTTATTATGTTTGGATCAACAGTTTTTTTTTTTTTTTTTTAAACAAGCTACATCCAGAATATCTAGAAAGAAGAACAATACCCATTCTACAAGCAAATACCCCAATTTGTCTTTAAATTGTATTTTCTCAGTTGTTTTGTTCAAGTTTCCTCCAGACAAGATCCACGCATGACATGTGATTGTAAGAGCTCTTATATCTCTAGAGTGGAGACCCTTCCTTAACATTTTCCATGACAGTGACAAAGTAAGGCAGCTCCAGAAGCTCTCAACCCCAGAACAGTGATGCCTTCCTGTAACATGAAAAATAAAACACCCAGAGACTGATATGGGGGTTCAAACTTCAAGCTGAAGGTCAGAAAAGCAAAGCAGCCAGCCACTAATTCTTACCTCTACCTAGGCTGAAAGGGCTGACCCATGAGCTATCCTCAGCGTGGCTGGAGACTAAATGATCATCTCCTCAGTGTGACTGGAGAACGAATGCCTCTCTGAGACCTTGCTCCTGTCTTATATACCTCTCATGAGTCCTGGGATTAAAAGTGTGAGCTATAATTCTCTTTTAGACTGGTTCAATCTTGTGTAGATCTGGGTGGCCTTGGACTCACAGAGCTCCGTCCTATCTCTTAATTCTGACTCCTAGGATTAAAGGTGTGTACCACCACCTCCTGGCTTCTGGCTGCTGGGACTAAAGACATGTGCCTGGCTTCTATGGCTTTCTGAATTTTCAGGCAAACTTTAGTAAATCATAATATAGCTCCACACCACATCATTCCTACACAGTCAATCCATACTAAGCTTCCTATCTGTAAGCCACCGGCCTCACTCCCATCCCCAGACTGGATTTGCTACAGAGCATTACTGGCTACTGGAGCATCAGAAAAGAGCCTTGGGGGTCTCACCAAGGCAATTGATTGCTTAGCCTTTAAGTTTATTACTCTTCATCTCATTGGCCAGAGCTCATCACATGGCACTAACCAAAGAAGGCCGGAAGTCACAGATAGGGACGATTCAGTTAGCTACATTAATGGTCACTTGTCTATTTACTTTTCTTCAACTGCCCTGTGAATTTTCTGAAAATGGAAATTAATTCTAGAGCTTGATCAGATTCAAGCTCAGTCATTTTGACCAGAGTATCTCACAGGCTACTCTGTGCTTCATACAACATCACACCAGGAGAAATTCAGTATAATGGATTGTAGCATTAACAGCCCCCACTCTCATACTTCATTAAATGTATTTTTAGTATGACACTGGTCTTTGCTGTGTGACATGATCTCAAAATCAGGGCAGACTGTAAACATGCCTGCACTTGGGCTTATTCTCTCCCTTCCTTGCTACTTTTTGGAATCACTGAAGAGGCTCAGGGTAGACCACTGAAGGGACTTCCTGGGGCTGAGAACTACCCCAGTTGAGGCCACCTAGGTCCAACAAACCTTTGTTACCTAGACTAAGTTGCCAGCTGACCACAGAAATCAGCCAATCAGGTGCAAACTAGAAAAGGCCTGCCAGGATGGTGAGGTGAAGCTGTTGCTCTCTGACAGGACACTTTGGGCTTGTTTGTAACGAAGCAGAAGCTAGCTTACACATACATCACCTACCCCAAAGAATTCAGTAAGCCCCAGTTTGCTCGGAAGCTAGGGAAGGCTTGCAAGAGGAAGATCCAGGGAAGAGCCAACGCTGCAGCTGGAGTCTCTTCTTGTTTGGGGAAGTAGTCTTTCCTCTGTTAAGACCTCCAAATGACTAGATGAGGCCTAATGCTTTGTAGAGTGCAATCCACTTTATTCAAAACCTACCAATTTAAATGCTTAGTTTATTAAAAGTGAACACCTTCGGGGCTGGAGAGATGGCTCAGAGGTGAAGAGCACTGGCTACTGTTCCAGAGGTCCTGAGTTCAATTTCCAGCAACCACACATAAAAATAGCAGGACATAAAATGATGTCAATAATGACTGTTTGGGGTTAATACAGAATATGTTTTTTTCTTTGAGGTCTTTTCAAAACATAAATAAGTAAACAAAATCATCAAAATCAAGACAAGCCATCATAAAAACAAAAAACAACAATAACCACCACCACCACCACAACAACAAAACAACCCCCAAAGCCAAAAGCCCACAAATTGGCTTGCTTTTTAGTCTGACTGCATTCCAGGACCATAGTCACACCTCCCCTGAGTACTTTTCCTCCCCTAGACTCCCACACTGTTTACTGCTTATACTGCTCACTTAGCTTTTGTAACAATCACTTAATAAATTAAAAACTTAATGCATGGAGATCTGAAAAACTCTATAGTAGATGCTACGGAGGCACAATGAATTATAAATTTTCATATAGAGTCATTTCCTTGAGTAAGCTGTATATTGAAGTCAAAGTTTCCTCATCACCTCCAACACTGCTGACTCATGTGACCAGAATTTGTCAAAAGTACTGAAGAAAATATGAATAAACATGGAAACAGTGATAAAAATATATTTAATAGAAAATATACCAAAGAAAAGTAGTTTAGAGAATTTTGTTGTAATTACTAGGAAAGAGTTGAGACTGCTAGTCCCTCTGCAGAAATGCTATGTACAGATGCAAAATGATCGAAGGCTGAAACAATAATGAATCTCAAGAAAGTGGCGTAGCCATCTCGTGCCTGTAAGGGAAAAAAAATCAATATGGATGCTTTTAACAATCCTAGCAAACTATTAATAAGCAGTTGGCAGAACAGAGGCTTCAATGAAGAGTAACTTTCTAACATGTAACAGAATATAAGACAGAGTTCAGAAGACAAGCCAGCTTCGTCTAGTAGTTGTCTGGGAGTGATTCAGCATAGTATCTATCATTCTTGGTTTTATGAAAAACAGTGGGAGGCCTATAAAGTACAAATGTACATTGATGACCAACTGTTTTACAAGTGTCTTTCTAAAGTACTGTTTATGCTAAGTGGTTTCTGTTGTTAATGATGCCTTGCATATACTATCCTGAAGTATGACTATACTCTCACATTTATATAATTTCCCTGGAAACCAATTTGGCAATATATGTAAAAAGCCATAAAATATTTATACTCTTGTGCCCAGCAATTCCATTCCATGAAATTTAATCCTAGGAAATAAAATTTTAAAAAGGTAAAGATCGTAGAGCATGTATTAATGTTCCCTACAAATTATTTGTAATGACAGAGAAAAATAAATTAGCTTAAATGTATGTAAATATGTAAACAGTACCTTAAAAACATAATTATAAAGCCTGGGATATAATATTAAGTTTTTAAATGATACAAGGTTTTCTATACATTTTTGTTGTAACTATCTGAGCTCTATGGTCAACAGGTATAAGAATGAATGGAGCCATTCTGCTATGACAATAATAAAAGTATGAGTGGTTTCCAGCCTTCCATTCTTCCTCATTAGTTTCCAAATGTTCTATACCCTCCCCAGCAAGTCCTCAACAAATACAAAAGAATGTAGAGGCTTCCTAATCGTAATCATAAAATCAGCATAATTAATCTTTTTTATGGGGGGTCCCACTGGCCTCTCCAGCCACTCACTGGAAGATGAGCCCCAAAGATCCTGTCTCTTCCTCGCCAGCACTGGTTTGCATGTGGGTGCCACCATGTCCCACATCTTTGTGTGGGTGCTGGAGAGCAAACTCAAGTCTTAACACTTGTACTGCCAGTGGACTGAGCGCTCCCCACTCTCTGAAGAGTCTTTGAAATGCCAATTTCCCAGCAGCTCCAGGAGGGTGCAAAGCTGCAAACCCTACAGATAGGAAGCCACTCTAGATGTCATGGAGACCAGTTGTACACCAACACTGGCACCTAAACACACTTGGAGTGTTTTACTAGTTGCTATTTGTTTAAAACGAGGGCATGGCAAACTAGCAGAGACAAAGGACTCCTGACGAAGCAGCAGCTTCCATCAGTGGGCATTCATCCCACTTGACAAGGGGAGCCCAGATGGAATGCTGTCGGAAAACATTGGTTCTCTTTCCACTTCAGCTCTCTCTGGCTTAGTTGTTGCTGATCCTATGCTCCAGCTCCCTTATCCAAACCTCTCTTGTCCTTTCATGTGTAATTAACATCCAACTTTGACATCTCAACCCCTTTAGTCTCCTATTCTAAATGGCTTACAGAATCAAATGAAAGAAAGTAAACAAATACTTTAAAAATAAATGATTGAACAAAATTAAACAAACAAATGAATTCAATTCTGTTTTTATCCATGCAGCCACTTTCTCCAGGATTGGTTAAAAAAAAAAAAAAAGGCGCAATTATTGAGAATAATCTCTAATAATTAAGTATGTAAAGAACTGCTAATACCATGAGGATATTCATCATGAATAATTCATACTAGGAAAGTTTAAAATCTAAATTGGGCTCACTGAAGAAATCTTATCTCTACAAAGTATGTATACTTACCACAATTTCTTCGTTTTGAAGCTGCCCCTCTGTGTGTATTAAATCTAAGACACAAATTTAATAGAAATAGATTAAGGTTCAAAAATATGAGGATAGCTACAGAAATTTGTGCCCAACAAAAAGTGATTATTTGGCAAACTATATGTTAAAGCCAGATTTAAAGGAATTACCATTATTTGGGGGTTGATTTGATATAAGACATTTGACTTTAAAAAATGAATGAGCTGTAAAATACCTCTAGTGAGTTTACAACAGAAATGCAAATGTAAATCATACTAAAGAAATATACAGCAGGAAACTGGTAAAATGCAGACTCCTTCCCCTTATTAATCGAGCTCCTAGTAATTTCAGACTTTACCCACAGGAAAATTTCACTGTGATGTAGAACAGCCTGTGACATGATCTCTTCTGGTACTCAAGTTTAGTAACATACTCCTGGAATAGTTTACTTAGCCAGGAGTAATTGTTCAGAAATGTGAACTATTTAGTTAATATAATAATATCTTTTGACATTCATTTGTACCAAATAATGTACAGAATTTCAAAAGCTACCCAGGACCAAAGGAGAAGACTTTGGGAAGTAAGATCCTGGAGGCTTTTTTCCTGCTCCTTAATGCTTTCCTTAGATAATAAAAAAACTATTATCCCTGCTTTCCTGTGCCTACTCCTCTGGTTATGCTCCCTAGCAGTGAATGTGTTCCACTTTGTAGCCCGGAATTGTGGTGTACACCAGAAATCCCAGTATTCAGGAGACTGAGGCAGAAGGACTGATTATAATAAATTCCAGACCAGCCTGGGCTACATGGAATAAAAACCTGTACAAAAAGTGGTGGTGGGAGGTGGAGGGTGGGGGTCCTCCAAGATGGCTCAGTGGTTAAGAGCACTGACTCTTCTTCTAGAGGACCTGGGTTCCCTTCCCAGAACCCACATGGTAACTCACAACTGTCTATAACTACAGTCCCAGGGGATCTGATGCCTACCTTCTGGCCTCTGTGGACACCAGGCATGGTGCACAGATATACATGCAAACAAAACATCCATATACATTAAATAAATTTGTGTTTTTTTTCTGGAATTTAATATGTTTATACTCTCTTTCTTACTTACATGTAAGTTAAGTTTATATTGTGGTAAGTAGACCACATGTCCACTTCCTGGTCTAACTACATGGACAGTACAATGCTAAAATAAGAAACCAACTATGAACTAGTCTCATTCATACTTTCCACATCACCTGCTGCTCTCACATTTAGGCCTTCCTGGGGTTCCATGTAATAAATTAGCTTACTTCATGATACTTTCCTTGGAAGGCACTAGGTTACAACCTAATCTGCTGTGTTCTAGAAGTTATGGCTGTCCCTCTGGCAATAAAAACTATTGATCTACATTTGCCTGGTTCACTAGGTTTATGTTTTCTTTTCTCACTATAGTTTTATGTGTTTTTATTCTACTGTTTTCATGGTATTTGCTAAGAAAAGGAGATAGACACATTATGTATGTTTGTACTTAAATGGAAGATAGTAATTTAGTTGATGATGTTTATCAAAAAAACTTTTTTTTTGTTTTGAAATAGGGACTCACTATGTCATGCTGGATGGCCTAGAAAGATGTATGTAGATCAAACTCAGAGATTCCCCCTGCCTCTACTTTCTGAATCTTGGGATTGAGGACATGTGCCACCATGCCCAGCTCAGTTTAAATAAACAGCATCATTAATCAGGAAAGAAAAGTACAAAATGAATATTTTTTGCTTATCATAAAAGCCTCAAATGTGTCATCTCTTTTTTTGATAACCTAAATTTTGAAAATGCTAATTTTTGCTTTGTTTTGTTTTTTCAAGACAGGGTTTCTCTGTATTGCTTTGGAGCCTGTCCTGGAGCTCGCTCTGTAGACCAGGCTGACTTCGAACTCATGGAGATCCAACTGCCTCTGCCTCCTGAGTATTGGTATTAAAGGCAGGCGCCACCAACGCCCAGCAAAAATGTTAATTGTTTTATAAACAGTACATGAAGACTACAAATGTGTGTTTTTCTAGGCCTTATCTGTGTTAAAGAATCATTAAAATAACCTTTTATTTACCAAAATGCAGTTGGACTGATATCACAGAGTCAGAGGCCAGCCATCTACTCCCTCATGCTCAGAAAAGTACTGGCATCATACACACCTTTTTCCACCCACTGCTCAAAATCGAATGGCTCTTTAGATGCAGTCTTTTCAATCCTCAAGGTCCGCACTGGCATTATAAACAGAATAAATAAATATTAATTAGCTTTTTAATTCTGTTTTGTTGTTTCTGTTTTTCTTTTCCCTACTACTTGACTGCCATAGATTGATGGGTACCACACAAAGTGCTTGGAACAGGAATAACACATCCTGGAAGCTATGACTGTTTTTCCCTAAGTCCCTATGGCAAAATGTAACACTGTCCAATGGCAATCTTGCCACTGTTTATCACTCAGAGCACAAATCTAATAGAGCTTTTCTGAATCTGGTTATTATCTGGAGTGTTTATATACTGGTTGTGATACTTCTGGTAGCCATGGTCCTAACCCTTTATGGAGAACATGCTGGGTCAGACGTCTTTGTTCATTCTCTCTTGGCTGAAGTCTTTATGAGAAAGGTATTACTAACCCACTTCCCTGATGAGGACACAGGTTTACAGAAGCTAGGCAAGGTGTCCAATGGACTAAAGCTGGGAAATGCAGAACAGGAGTTCATACATGAGGCTTGTCCACTCTAGGGCCTCCACAATTCATGACAGAAGAAGCTCCCCACATGACCCCCCAGCCATCCTTCCCCTTCTATTTCTTATTATGGAGGGGCTTGCTTCTATAGATTGCATCTCCTAGAACAACTAGCTTTCTTTGGAGCTGGCTAGTAGCAGGCACCAGAAGACTGTAGGGCAGAAAGTGAGCTGGATATTTTATTTACACTCTGCCCTGCTTCATGCCATGTCTTTGATAGTGGTCCTGTCCCTTCAAAACCATAAGGCTCCTGCTAGCCAGATCCCCCTGTACAGCCCCGAAATCTCCCTGGGCTCTGGTGACACTTTCCTCTCCTTGTCCCAGGACAGGACTCTCTCTGCTGTAGCTAGTTTCTGAGAGCTATTATCCCTTATTCATTCCTGCAGCTCAGGCCAGAATTTTATAAGTAGATCTATTAATAACGTCTCTTCATTTGAAACATCTGGGATCTATTCTGTTTCCTGCCATGATTCTGTCTGATACACTTTATCACAGACAGGACTTGATGTTCCAAAGGGAGATTCCATTCCTAATCCCCAGAAAATATCATTAGCAATAGAAGAATCAAAACTATCCAGTGGGAATAATAGGGGTTATCAGATTTACAGAAAGAATCTGAGAACTACAGGCTAAATGAACCCAGAATGAAGATGTCATAGGACCTAGCATTCTGGCAAGCCAGCTTCTTCTTACATCCTAATTGAATCTTCTGCCAAAGACTTTCACACAGTAAACTGCATGGAAATTATGATGTGCTTTGGAAGGGTTTCAAATTTACAGTTTAAGAGAGGCTAATTGTGCTGAAGACAGTTAACCCAATACTCTCCACCTTCCTTTTCAGCAATAAAACAGGGTCCCATGCTGTAAAAAAAAAAAAAAAAAAAAACACAACTAGTTCTTTGCCAAAAGTTGACATGTGTCCTCTGTCTATGGAAAAACTCAAGAATAATAAAAGGTTAGTGTGTGATTGGCTTACCTAAGTAACTTTGGATCACGAGCTTTTCAATCTTCACGTGTTTGTGAAAACAAATAATGAACTCCTGGGGAAACATGCCTGTGGTGGTCCAGAAGGTTTCTGGATTCCTAATGTTAATTTTAAAGGAATAAAAGGAATAGACAGATATAAAAACTAACCATGATATTCTAATGAATAAATATTAAAAATATCTACTGTTTTATTTTCAAATCCCTTTCTAACTTAGTTCTACCTATGATCTCCCCAACTTTAGTACTTTTTTTAAACTACTGACAGATACCCTCTTCTAAAATGCTGAAACAAAACTGATGTCACTCCCACCTAAAAGCCTTCAGCAGCCCCCTACTGACTGTAAATCCAACCTCTATAGTTCCATCATTAAAGTATATTGTATAGTATAATATATTGTAAAGTATAAAGTTCCATTACTACATCATTCTATCACTGCTGCCACAGCCAGCTGCTTACAACTCTCAAACACATCATGTAGACTCATGCTTCTATAGCTAACTTAATGAGTTCTCTTGACCCCAAAGCCCTTCTTCCTCTTCCAAAAGTTTATGGTTCCTACTCCAACTCTAGCAGATGAGAATCACAGCCTCTGTGCTTTCCACTTGCCTCACTGCATCCATTCCCACCCTAGACACATATCTTTTGCACTTTTATGGCTCCTATGGAACCCAGACATCTGCCTTTCTTTACTTTTAACAGGCTCTTTTTTTTTTTTAAGATTTATTTATTTGTTATGTTTAGAGTATTCTGTCTGCATGCATGTCTACACACCAGAAGAGGGCATCAGATCTCATTATAGATGGTTGTGAGTCATCATGTGGTTACTGAGAATTGAACTCAGGATCTCTGGAAGAACAGTTAGTGCTCTTAACCTTTGAGCCATCTCTCCAGACCCATCCTTTATTTTTATGTTTTTTTTTTTTTTTTTGGGTTTTTTGAGACAGGGTTTCTCTGTGTAGCTTTGGAGCCTATCCTGGCACTTGCTCTGGAGATTAGGCTGGCCTTGAACTCACAGAGATCTGCCTGCCTCTTATTTTTATGTTCTAATAGCTATTATAGTAGGGGACTCCTAGTGTAAGAACAATGTTTGCTGAAAACAAAACATGAAGTTTCAATTTAAGTCTCATACACTATATATACATATATGTGTTTGTGTGTGTGTGTATGTATATGTATACAAAATTTCTACAGTCAATACCATATGTGAAATAGTCTGTTGCAGGTATGGCATTGGCTATAGAAATAATCATTTCTATTTTAAACAATATAAGCCTTTTCTTTCTTTTTTGGGAGTAAAAGTTATATATAATAAAATTGAAGTATAATGAGTTTTGATAAATGTATATTCTCATGTAACTGATTCACTAAGGTAACCAATACCCTCAATGAGGATACAGAACTTTCCCATGATTCCAGAAATCCCCTTATCTTTCCTCTAGACACTTTCTTGTGTTTGTTTGTTTGTGTTTTATTTTTTTCGAGACGGATTTCTCTGTGTAGCTTTGTAGGCCAGGCTGGCCTTGAACGCAGAGATCAGCCTGCCTCCTGAGTTCTGGGATTAATGGTGTGAGCCACCACTGCCTGGCCCTCCAGACAATTTCTACATTCCCTTAGCCAACAACTGCTTTGATTTCTATCATGGACCTTGCAATGGTTTATGCAATGACAATTACTTTATTCATTTCTTTGCAGTTTTTTTTTTTTTTTTTTGAAGCAAAGTTTCACAAGGCCACTCAGGATGGCCTGAAACTTGCTATGTATCTGAGGATGGCCTTGACTGTTCACCTTCCTACTTCTACATCTCTCCACCTTCCAAGTGCTGGGATTACATGTATGTACCACTACACTCAGTTTTATTCCATTCTGGGAACTTAATCTGGGCTTCATGCATGTAGACAAGCACTCTACCAACTAAGCTTCATCTCCAGCTTCTGTAACTGAAATTTACAAATTTTTACTTCCAACTAATATACAGTAATACAATTAATTTTAATACCTTGATTTTTGTAGCCACTGAGTTTACTTACTAATTCTACTAATCCCTCCACCCCTTTTTCTTTCTTTTGAGTCAGGGGGTTGAGACAGGGTTTAACTAGAAGCCATCTCACTAGCCTTAAGATGTTGTTTTTTATGCAAAATTGAAAAAGTAGAAATAATGTCTATCTACTTAAAATGCATAAATACTGTGTGCTCCATCAACACAACTGAATATTGTTTGACAATAAAAAATTAAATAGTAATATGTATTACAAGATAGTGGACCCTTAGAACCATGTAAGTGAAAGAAGCATCACAACAGTCTCCATGGTAACATCCTGGCAAGTTCAAGAGTTCTGGGCCTATCAATTCCACACTTAGACTTTGTCATAAAAACACAAAAAAAGGGGGCTGGAGAAATGGCTCAGAGGTTAAGAGTCCTGGATGTTCTTGCAAAGGACATGAGTTTGATTCCCACTGCTTACATGGTGGCTCACAACCATCTCTAACTCTAGTGCCAGGGGATCTGACATCCTTTTCTGGCCTCTGTGGGCACCAAGCACACATGAGGTGTACAGGCAAAACACCCATACCCATAAATTTTTAAAAAACCGAAAAAACAAAATGAATAAACAATAGATCTCCTGTGAGATAGGCATGGCAATGCACTCTTAGCATTTAAAAGGCTAAGGCAGAAGGATTGCTATGGGCTTGAGGCCAGCATAGGATACACAATAAATTGCTTCATCTAGTGACATCCTGCTTTAAAAACAAAACAAAGAAACAAAAAACCTCAAGCCACAATATGTATGATTCTATTTATTTGACTCAACTATAGTATTTAACTGTACTATGCAAAAAGGACCACTTCTTTCTCAGGGGGTGGGGGTGGATGAATATTTACTGGGAATTGAACACAGATTACTTGTGTGCAGGGATCTACTATTGTATTTTTTTTCTTTTTTTTTTTTTTTTTTTTTTTTTTTTTTTTTTTTAAATAATTTGAGACAGTATCTTGCTAAATTGCCCAGGCTGGGCTCCAACTTCACTGAAGCACTCCTCTCTGAGTCTCCCAAATGCTGAGATCCAGCTTTGTTGTTTTCTCTGTGGAGTTTCTATTCTCCCTTTTTACTGACATATTAAGTAGAGAGGACAAAGGCGGGCTCAAGAAGAAATAACACATTCATGTTAATCCTTCTTTCTAGCCAAGTGTGATCTCAGGATTGGGGGAACAGAGGCAGAAAGATCAGGAGCTCAGGGTAATCTTTTGCTACATAGTGGGTTCTCTGCCAGCCTGGCTACAAGAGACTCTATCACAAAACAAAACAAAACAAAACAAAACAAAACAAAACAGGCCAGACAAACAAACAATAACAAAAAATAGTACAACTAACTTCTAAGGAAAGTTAAAGTATTCACCAGGGGCATGAGATAAATCTCCACTATAGGAATACATTTACAGCATCACTTTCTCCAGGTAACTCTGTGGCTATTTCCATTTAGATAAAACAGATCAGAAAATAATTCTTTAAAAAGATTTTATTTATTTATTTATTTATTTATTATGTATACAACACTCTGCTTCCAGGTATATCTGCACACCAGAAGAGGGCACCAGATCTCATAACAGATGGTTGTGAGCCACCATGTGGTTGCTGGGAATTGAACTCAGGACCTCTGGGAGAACAGTCAGTGCTCTTAACCTCTGAGCCATCTCTCCAGCCCTAATAACTTTTAACATCTACTATATAAATCCTGTTTGTGTTTACTAGAACTATATAGACTAAAAATCTCTGGGGCAGGAAAGATAGCTCAGCACTTAAGAGCACTGATTCCTCATTCAGAGAATCCAGGTTCAATTCCTAGCAGTCGCACGGCAGATCACAACTGCCTATAACTCAAATTTCAGGGGATCTGATGCCCTCTCCTGGCCTCCATGGCATCAGACATGCACAGGATGCACATGCATACATGCAGGCAAACACTCATATACATATTTTTAAAGGCTTTAAAAGTGGAGAGGGCCAGGCGTTGGTGGCGCACGCCTTTAAGCCCAGCACTTGGGAGGGAGAGGCAGGCAGATCTCTGTGAGTTCGAGGCCAGTCTAGTCTATATAGTGAGTTCCAGGACAGGTTCCAAAGCAATACAGAGGAAACCCTGTCTTGAAAAAAAAAGGGGGTGGGTGGGTGGGTGGTATTTGCATGTTTTGCCTTAGAAAAAATTATCTCCAATTCAAGTGAAGGATGTTTCTGGAAAGAACTCTATTCTAAATGAACAACTTAAGACAAATCTCCACAGTTCTGTGTGTATATGTACACTAATTTTTCTATATCAAGTCAGTGGGATTAATTACTTGACTTCCACAGGAAATATAAAACACAGAAAAACTATGACATGGGCAAAGGCAAGTATTAAGTTTTTGATTCAAGCCTTAAGTTTGAGTTATCATACAGAACCTTTAGGTTCTGGGAGTTAGAAGACATGCGTACTAGTTGGTTCTGTCATTTGTTTATTTGTGTGATTTTTTTAACAAATTGTTTTGCCTTTGATAATCCTTTTGTTCATCTTTAAAATGAGTTTGAAAATATTTTTTAAAAAGCTTCATTTGCTCAACATAGTAAAAATGGCAATCTTGCCAAAAGCAATCTACAGATTCAATGCAATCCCCATCAAAATCCCAACACATTTCTTCACTGACCATGAAAGAACAATTCTCAACTTTATATGGAGAAACAAAAGACCCAGGATAGCCAAAACAACCCTGAACAATAAAGGAACTTCTGGAGGCATCACCATCCCTAACTTTATGCGCTATTACAGAGCTATAGTCCTGAAAACAGCTTGGTATTGGCACAAAAATAGACAGGTAGAC